CGAAAAGCCTCGAATCGGCCTTCACATGCCCCTCGCATCCTTAACTCGACTGCACGTAACCGTAAGAGTGACCTTTCGCCGGAGTGACCTTTGGTGCGGGCCCAATGGGGTCCCCCGATCGCTGAGCGCGAAGCGGTAGCAGCGGCTTGCGCGCCCAGGTTTGGCCACCCCGCGTCCCCCGTTTTGCCGCGCACCAAAGGTCACTCTTACCCAGGGTCCCTCTCACGTGTAGCCGATCACCGCGCATCCTCCTGATACGGGCCGACTGCATCCTCGCCCGATGTTGTCCTTGTCCTGGCCTCGTCCTGCGCGAGGGCGCGGCCACGGGTGGGTTCGCCGCCCGCGCCAGGGGGGCCCGCTCCGCGAGAGGCCGCCGGGCCGGAGGCGGCGGCGCGGGGGCCCCCCGAGGCCCCCCGCGATTTTGCAGCGGGCGCGCGCGCGGGCAGGCGGGCAGCGCGGCGCCTGCCGCGCGGGGGCGAGCGCGGCCCACGGGGGCTCCTCGCCGGCCGGCATGGGCCCGGAGCGCCCTGGCGGCCTTCGGTGGCAGGTCGTGGGGGCCCTGCGTGCCCGCGCAGTGCCGTCCTCAGCGTCGGCTGGCATCGATTGGCGTCGGGGGGTCGGTGAGACAGCGCCGACTTGGCGTCGGCGAGCGTCGATGGGCGTCGACTCCGCGCCGATGAGCGCCGACTCGCGTCGACCAGCGTCGATTCGGAAGAGCCGACGAGAGGATATGGGAGGCTCGCACGAGCTGCCACCGAACTGCTCGGGTGGGAGCGCCCCGGCATCCGGAGGGGTCGGCGGCGAAATCTGAGCCCTGCCCTCGCCGATCCACGACATCTCGTCGGCGGCGAGCGACAGGGGGGAAGGTGAGGAGGAGAAGGCCCTCTCAGAGGGCTGCGGGACTGCTCAGGAGCCCTCGCGCTCCGAGCCTTCTGCGAAGGCCCGCCCCTTCTCACTTCCCCCCTGGACGCGCCGCCGAGTTCAGGCAACTCTATGGGCGGCGGGGACAGGGTTCGGAATTCGTCGAACGCGTGGCGGAATCCGGACCCTACCCCCGCCTTCCACCGATTCAAGGCACTCGATCGTTGGTGGGGTCAGGGTTCGAACGTCGCCACCTGAGAGGGGCGCGGTGAGGGGGGAGGTTCGGGGGCGGCCCAGAAGGGGATGCTGACCAAGGGGGGAGGGGGGGATATCACGGGCGGGGGCCATGGTGTCTCCCTGGATTTCGTGGCCCCCCCTTGCGTCTCTCAGGACGTCCCGTGGCCCCCCCCTCCAGGGCCGCGCACGTGCCTCGGGCCGTGATTTTGCGAGCCCCCCCCCCTCCTGGGCGGACGCGCCCCTCCTTGAACCCCCCCGAGAGGTACACCTCTAGGCTTCCCAGCTGGGGTCGGAGCAGGTGGGGTCCGAGGATCGCGCCGCATCGCCGATGCACCGGCGATGCATCGCCGATGCGGCTCGATGTGGGGCCCATTTTTCTTCCGCGCCGACGTCGCCGATGCATCGCCGACGTCGCCAGTGCCTCGACGATGTATCGGCGATGCATCGCCGATGTATCGGAGACGCGGCGAGATCCTCCGACCCCAGCGACTCGGAACCCGTCTGGGAGGTCTCTATACACGGGCTAGGACCTGCAGCAGTTGGCTGCGGCTGCTCTAATTCGCATGCACGCCGGGCGCGCGTCGTTGCGGGCACGCGGCGCAGCCCACGCTCAGGGGAGGAAACAGCTCAGCAGCGCGCGCCTGGGAGGAGGGCCCTCACAGCGAGCAGCATCCCTGCATCTGTCGAGCGAGGACACCTCGACCGACGGTGTTGCGCGAGGCAGCCGTGGTGACTACGGGTCGCGTTCCTTGCGCGCTCGAGTGCAGGGGTCACCCTTGTGTTGGCTATGCATCGCTCGGGTGTGTGCATTTTTTCTCGGCGACTGCCATCGAGGAGCGTTTTGGGTCACCGTGCGAAACAGTACACGCACGAAACCGGAAAAATGCACGGGGAATGGACGTCCGAGCGATGTCAAGGCCTGCGCGATGCCTTTGCCGCCAATGGCCCCATGGAGGGGGGCCAGGTCGCTCGAAACTGGTGCGGACGTGGCCAAAAGGCTCCCCACCACCGCACTCCTCGGGCGCTCCACTCCAGGCCTCGTCTACGGGACCCGAGCACAGGTCCGTCGTTGAAGGTAGGTTTGTGGGGGATGCCCAGATCCCAAGCTATTTTTGTCGGCGCCCTCCTGCTTCAAGAGTCGAACGGTGCTCCCCCTCCCCTCCGCCTCAGTGGGCGTGCGGGAGCCCAGTCTACTTTCAGCGCCTTCCTGCGTCTACAGTCGGGGCCCTGAAGAAGGAACCCTTTTCGTTGGGGAGGGGCTCCGCGTTCCTCAATTGTTTGACAGCTTGCCTCAGGTTTTCCTGACGTTTTCGATGGGGCATCGAAGCTTAACTTCTCGAGAAAAGGGGGCTCGTTCCTTATTTAATCGCTTCGCTCATGCCGCCGGCCCTGGAGCCCTCTTTAGGGCCTTTTGGGGGCCTCTTGGGGACCTCTTGGGAGTCTCTTGGGGCTCCTTGGCGGCGTTTTGGAGGCCCCCAGGGCCTCTTGGGGGGCTCTTGGGGGTAGTCGATTGCGGCTCCCCCCTGGGAGGCCACGATCCTCGTGAGGGGTGTCGAAAAATACCCTCCCCTGGAGTGGTCTGGTGGCTTCTCCCGGGCTTCTCTCGGGACCTTGCCAGGGTACTTTTCGTCCGGGGGCCCCCAGGGGCCGCTCCGCGCGCGCGAACTAGAAATATTGTTAACAAGTTACCGGAGATCTTAGCACGCCTCTGGCCCGTTGGGCCGGCGAATTTATCGCTCCTTGGGTCAACGCCCCGACTGTACGCGCGTCTCCCGACCAGCGGGCACAGATGAGTGAGAGAGGCCTTCCGGCCGCATCGGATCGCCGAGGCGGCGCGGTCCAGGCGCCGACCGTCTCCACGCCGGTGCGCCGACGTCCTCCACGCAGGAAGCGACATGGGTACGACGGACGTGGTTATAAAACGACGCGAAGATCGGGACAAAATCGGATCGGGATAACTCGAAATCTCTGAGAACCGGCGGGTTTGGAGGACGTATTGGACGCCGCGGCCGCTCCAGAGCGTTCCAGAACGCTCTGAGAGCGCTCCGGAACGCTCTGGAGCGATTTATCCCGATCTTAGCCCTGTTTTAGGTTCCAAAGACTGACAGCAGTTCTGTCCGCCTTGAGCAGGACTCGCTGTCGGCGTCGCCACGGACCGCTTCCATGTGAGACAAGAAGGTTGCCTGCCCGACAGCGGCCGCTGTTGGTTCTGCGCAGCACTTGTCTTCGTTCGAGTGCGCGGTTGTCAGGATAGCCCTCTTGAAAACAAAACAAAAAAAACAAAAAAACTTGTTGTCGGGTATCGTGCCCATTCTATCCGTAACCACTCCCGGGCGTCCCGCTCTGTGGCAGGGGGCGCTCCCGGAAGAGGCGGCGGCAGGCATGCCGAGGCGATGCCCCGGCCTCGCATACGCGGGACCCCCGCCCCAGCAGGCCTCGAAAGTGGCGGCAGCTTCGCGGATCGCAGCCACGCAGGGATGGCGAGGTCTACAGTCAACGCTCCCAGTAAGGACGCGCGCCTTCATCCAGGGAGCCCCTGTGTCCTTTCATCTGCGGCCCGTCCTTTGCCGTTTTCACTGGTCGCCCGCCGCCCGAAAGATCCCAGCTTCGGCCTGCAAGGGTCTTGCGTCCTTACCACCCGTCCTTAGTAGTACACGCTTTGACTAGTCTGAGTCTGCGTAGGACGCCACTCCGTTGGACTCCCAAGCAGTGTGTCGCCACACTGGCTTGGGATGGAGGGTTTCTCCGAAGGGCTTAGGCGACCCGTCCTCCCTGCTCCTCCTCCTCCTCCTCCTTCCTCCTCCTCCTCTTCCTCCTCCTCCCCATGCCCCTCCTCCACCTCCTCGGGTCGCCTACGGCCCTCGGGGAAAGTGCAGTTTGGGACCCTTCAGAGACAAGCCCATATCTCTGCGCTGCGCCGTGCAGCGCGAAGGCGGCCGAGTGCGGCCAGCAGAGATGCGTTTCTCCTGCGGTCTGGGTCAGGGGTTGCGGCCCCCGCAGGCTGGAGGGAGTCTTGAGACGGTTGTGTCGTCTCTGGTCCGGGAGATCCGACGTGGCGCGATTGTTGGGCCGCCAGATCTGGCTGTTGTAGGTCTGACAGTTGTTTGACGGTTGGAGCTTTGCTCCTTGGGTGCTTCAGCTGGGACTTACTCGAGGCCCCCAGCTATTGGCGGCGAGCCCAGGGGGGAAGTCAGAGGGAGCTTCGGAGAAGTGTTCTCAATCTCCCCCGACGACACAGAACAGTTCTGGGAAGGCGCCAGGGCTTCTGAGAAGCCCCGCCGCCTCCTGAGAAGGCCTGCCTGGGCTGCCTACGATCCGATTCGATGCGATTCGATTTGCGGACTGGGCTCGCGATTCCGATTCGATTCGGTTCGGTTCGAGTCGATTCGATTCACCAGCATCCGCCCTGGCCAACCGGAGCCGCGCGCGGCGATCCGATTTCGATTTGATTCGGGACGACGATTCGCTGGCGATTCGATCCGTTTCCGATCCAATCCGATTTCGCGATTCGATCCAGCTCAGGCCTGCCTGCCCCCTCCCACTCCCCCCCTGGGCTCGCCGCCGAGTCTGGGAGGAACCCGCCGCCTCGGCCTCTCGCGACGCCTGGCTGCCTGGGTCCCCCCTATGAGCCTCCAGCCTGCACGCCGCCCCCATCGCGCGTGCGCCGGCCTCGCGCTCGCGCCCGTACAGCCCCTCGAGACGAGGAGGAGGAGGAGGAGGAGGAGGAGGAGGAGAAGGAGGAGGAGAAGGAGGAGGAGGAGAAGGAGGAGGAGGAGGAGGAGGAGGAGGAGGAGGAAAGGGAGGAGGAGGAGGACGAGGACGAGGACGAGGAGGAGAAGTTCGGGGCCCCCAAAATACACCACCACCACCATCACCACCACCATCACCACCACCACCACAACCAGCACCACCAGCACCACCGCCACCACCACCACCAGCACCACCGCCACCCCACCACCACTACCACCACCACCACCACCACCACCACTACCACCAACCACCACCACCACCACCACCACCAACACCACCACCACCACCACCACCACCACCACCACCACCACCACCACACCCACCCACCCACCCACCCACCCCCCCCACCCACCCACCCACCCACCCACCCACCACCACCACCACCAACACCCACCACCACCACCACCCACCACCCACCACCACCATCACCACCTCCCTCACCACCTCCCTCACCCCCTCCCCCTCTCCAAGGAAAGAGGATGGGGAAGAGGAAAGGGAAGGAGGGAGGGGGAATGGAGGTGGTGGTGGTGGTGGTGTATATTCTTGGGGGAGGAGGAGGAGGAGGAGGAGGAGGAGGAGGAGGAGGAGGAGGAGGAGGTGGAGGAGGAGGAGGAGGAGGAGGAGGAGGAGGAGGCGGAGGAGGGAGACGACGAGGGTGGGGGACTGGCGCTCGAGGTCCCGATGAACGTTCCCCGCGCCACGTCCAGCCAGGGCCTCGCGCCGGGGGGGAGGGTGGCCGCCCGCTCCGCGGCGGCGCGGCCGCGTCCGCGGCGGCCCTGGCCCGCCCGGGCCCTCCGCATGGGAGGCCCGCCCGCCCCGGGGTGGGGGGGCTCCGTCGACGACAGGCGACGGCTGAGTACGATCGAAGTGGCCGTCGGTCGTTGAAAGTGTTTTTTTTTAAGTCGGGCATGTCGCTCCACAGGAAAGAGAAAGAGTAGTGTCCTCTACAGGAGGACTGTTCTTGAATCTGGTTCAAGAGTAATCAAAAAGTAGTCTGGGGACGACGTTCCGTGCTCTCTTGATTTGTTGGAGCATGGTTGGACTGTTTTCTATGTGTCTTCCAAGACCCGCCTGTAGGAGGACATGTCAGACCTGAGCTTGTTTCTTGATTTCCAGATCCAGAGTTTCGGGCGCTCCTGGGGCTTCCCGCGCTTTCTTGCGCGACTTTCTCGGAACCCCCAAGACGGTCCAAGAGGATCCCAGTCTCCCAGAGATCGCTCCACGATGTTCGAGATGGCCTGCAGTCGGCCCAGAAGGCCCCCAAGACGCCCCAAGAGAGCCCCATGAGCAACCCCAAGAGGGAACCAAGAGGCAAACATCATTGATTTCCTCGAGCTTTTGAGCGACTTTAGCGTTCTCGCCGTTGCGGCCTTCCGTCGCTCCAAGGCGGCCCAAAGCGCCTCCAATATCTTCCCAAGGCGCCCAATCTACGTTGGGCGCCTTCCTACTTCAAGAGTCGAGCGATGTTCCCTCTTCCCTCCTCCTCAGTGGGCGGGCGGAAACCCAATCTACTTCTCGCCCCCTCCAACTTCATGTTCTACTTGCTTCTTCCGACTGGCTGGCACGGACATCTAGGCCAGGCAATGGTTCAAGTAAAGTTCGTTGCGATGGCACATTGTTTCGCAACGCCTGATATCCTGGGGGGGACCGCTACGGCTACCCACTCCGCGTCGCCACGGCTGGACGCGCCTCGGCGTCTTGGCCAGAACGCCCGCCAGGAGAGATCCACGGATCTAGGCCTCCCAAATGGGGTCGAAGCAGATGGGGTCGGAGCATCCCCGCGCACCGTCGATGCATCGACGATGCGGCTCGAGGTGGTGCCCGACTTCCTCAACGCGGACGTCGCCGATGCATCGGCGATGCGGCGCGATCCTCCGACCCCATCTGCTCGGACCCCATCTAAGGAGACCTCCGACAGTAGTGGGTGGCGAAGGCTGACAGCAGTCCCTGTTCCTCTTGGCCAGGGCTCGCCGTCGGCTGCCGCCGCGGGCGTTGTTCATCCTGGGGCACGAAGGCTGCCTGCCCAACAGCGGCCGCTCCTGGTCTTGGACAGCATGTGCTGTGCTGTGCTGTCGGGCGTTGTGACCATGTTTTGTCCATCCCACTTTCTCAGGAGGAAAACGCACAGACAAAAATAATCGCCGCCCATCCCAACTTCTCAGGAGGTAAAAAAAGCAAAGAAAACACAAAGGATCGCCAAGCCCGAGGAACATCGGGGAACGTATGGGACGTGGGTGTGGGGGGAGACGAGGCTCCAGAGCCTACTTGGAAAGATATGTAATCCTGTGACCTGTGCCTGTTGATTTGTGTGTGTCCCTGGGCCCCCTTCCATGTCGGGCGTCAAAACACGGCGACGGCGGCGGCTGCGGTGGCCGCCGCCGCCATCGCCGTTTTTTGGCGATGACGATGATGCTCACGATGACGTCAGCCTCGTCATCGTGAGCATCCGTGAGCATCCATCATCATCATCATCATCATCATCATCATCATCATCATCATCATCATCATCATCATCATCATCATCAGCATCAGCATCAGCATCAGCATCATCATCATCAGCATCACCATCATCATCATCACCATCACCATCATCATCACCATCATCATCATCATCATCATCATCATCGTCATCGTCATCGTCATCGTCACCATCCATCATCATTATCATCATCAGCAGCATCATCATCACGATCATCATCACCACCATCATCACCATCATCACCATCATCATCATCACCATCACCATCATCATCATCATCATCATCATCATCATCATCATCATCATCATCATCATCATCATCATCATCATCTTCATCATCATCATCATCGTCATCGTCATCGTCATCGTCACCATCCATCATCATTATCATCATCAGCAGCATCATCACGATCATCATCACCACCATCATCATCACCATCATCACCATCATCATCATCACCATCACCATCGTCGTCATCGTCATCGTCATCGTCGTCGCCATCGTCGTTGTCTTCGTCATCGTCATAGTCATTGTCTTCATCCTCATCACCATCATCATCATCATCATCAGCATCATCATCATCATCATCATCAGCATCGTCATCATCAGCATCATCATTATCGTAGTCGTCATCATCATCATCACCACCATCATTGTCATCGTCATCGTCGTCGTCGTCATCATTGTCATCGTCATCGTCATCGTCGTCGTCGTCGTCGCCATCGTCATCGTCATCGTCATCATCGTCGTCATCATCGGTAAGACCGCCCCCCCCCCCCCACAGCATGGCGGCTTCCCGAGCCGCGGGCCCCGAGACGGGGCGCCGCGGCCGCGCGGCGAGCGGCGACGGCGACGCCACGCCGCGCCTGCTCCGGCGCGTCGGCCTCTCCGTGGTCGCCACCAACGCGGAGTTCGGGCGAAGAGAACTGTGCACATGCACAGATCCTGACAGCGCCCATCCCTGACCCAGACTCGGTGCATACACCTTCCTTGCCAAGGTAAGAGGGCGTACACCTTAGGCGATGCTTAAGAAAACTTATTTTTGTTGGCCAGAGTCTTGATTATTCTTAATGTTTCAATGTAAATCATAAGATTTGAGTGGAAATTTTGGGTTTTTACTCAAGTTCTGAGACTATGAATTTCTTAACCCATGATTTCTTAAGCATTTCGCAGGGTGTATGCACCGATCCTGGGCTCAGTATGGGCCTGGCCGGAGTCGGTGGATGTGCACAGGTCTCTTTCCTCCAGGAGTACGGCCGCCGCGCCCGGCAGGAGGCCGAGGACGCCGAGCGCGAGCTGGACGTCAGGGGGGGGGGAAGTCTGCCGACGCCGCTGCCCCGAGGGATCTCTCGCGCCGCACTTCGCCGAGGCAGCGGCAGGTTTGTTTGCCCCCGAATATCGCGCCGCACCGCCGAGGCATCGGCGATGCAGGGGCGGCGTCGCGATGTGGAGAGCAGCGGGCTCCCCCTTGGTTCCCGGCGACGCCGCTTCGTCGAGCCGCACGGCGTCGCCCAGCCCTGGGGCCCCAGGGGGCCCTCACTGGTGGATGCCGCTCGGAGAATGGCGCAGGACGGCTGGTCCTGCAGGGCTCCGGGCGTGAGTGTCCACGGTGTCTCAATCTTTTCTGGCGAGCGAACAGCTCACACCCATGCCCACAGGAGGGTCGAGAGGAGGGGAACCGGCCATGGGAATGGGTGCGAGTTGTCGGACCCTGGGGGAAGCTCCCGTTCGAGCGGGGACCCCCATCCGACAAGACGCACCCATGGCCTCCTCCGTCCCCCCTATGGGTATGGGTGCGTGTTGTTCGATCGTCATTTTCGAGGCGTCGGATCTCGGGGTGCAAAGTCGGGGCCCTGAAGAAGGAACCCTTTTCGTTGGGGAGGGGCTCCGCCTTCCTCAAGTGTTTCACAGCTGGCCTCGGGTGTTCCTTATGTTTGCGATCGCAAATCGAAGTTTAACCTATGGAAATAAAAGGGGCCTCGTTCCTTATTTAGGGTTCCTTAGGTCAACGCCCCGACTGTATGCCCACTCCGGGCGGCACTGGGCGCTTCCGCCCGGTGGTCGGGCCCCGGGGGCCCTCACAGGTCGACCCGGGTGGGACACTGGGCTGGGCCCAAACGCTGTTCGGCTGGACCTCGGCTGTGTTTCGTTGTTCGTCTCGGCAGTGGGGCACAGGGAAAGAGGTAGAGCAAGACTCGAACAACGAAACTCTAGGCCTCCCAGATGGGGTCGGAGTAGATGGGGTCGGAGGCTCGCACCGCATCGCCGATGCATCGGCGATGCATCGGCGATGCATTGGCGATGCGGCTCGATGTGGAGACTGTGTTTCCCCACGCCGACGTCGCCGATGCATCGCCGATGCATCGGCGATGCATTGGCGATGCGGCGCGATCCTTCGACGCCATCTACTCGGACTCCATCTAGGAGGCCTCTAGAAACGAGCACAAAACGAAGACCAACGTTTAGGTCCAGCCCTGGCTGGGAAAGGTGCAGCAGAGCAGTGGGGTCCAGGGCTCTGGTCGAGCGCCCCCGCCCCGCCTCGAGGCCCCGGGGGCCCTCGCAGGTGGGTCCGGCTCGTGCCGCAGAGCAGTGGGGGCCCAGGGCTCTCGCCGAGATCTTGGCACGAGGTTCGGGCCGGGCGAAAGGGGGGGATTGGGAAAGGGGGGGGTACGAAATTTGCTGCATGCAGCTGGTTTCGGCCTCACCGAGGGGGCCACTTCCTCGATACATGGGCGCCTCCCGGCGCCGGGAGGCGCCGGGGACGTCAGCTACGTGAGCTGATTCTCAAACCCCCCCTTTGCTATCCCCCCCTTTCGCCCGACCCGAGAGGTCGCATGTGTCCCTCAACTCCAGGTCTCCGGGCAGGAAACACACCGATATCGCCACCAGCTCCGCGTCGCCACGGCTGGATGCTCGTGGCCGGAAAGCATGCCCGGAGAGGTCCAGGGAGTAGCGGTCCCAGACCGGCGACGCCATGTTTTTGTTCAGGACGTGACCCCGCAGAGGTCTGGACCCATTCCCCGTGGAGCCGCTTTTGCGAGTATTGTGATTTGACGGTCCTGGGGCCTGGCGAGGCCACCCAGAGACGGAAGACAGCAAGACACAATTCTTGCTGCGAGTTTGTCCAGCCACGCACAGAAAGGGGGTAGGGAGAGGGGGGAAGGCTTTTTAGAAGCACCCCTGCTTCTTCTTAGAACGCGCGGGCCCTCTCTGCAGAAGCAAGGCCGGCGCCTTCCAAGAAGCAGCCTCCTTTTAAGAAGCCTTCCCCCCTCCACCTACCCACCTTGGGCGCGCCGCCAAGTCGAGGAGGGGTCGAGGTTCGGAGGATGAGGAGGAGGGCGAGGAGGAGGAGGAGGAGGAGGAGGGCGGGGAGGAGGAGGAGGAGGAGGAGGGCGAGGAGGAGGAGGAGGAGGAGGAGGAGGGCGAGGAGGAGGAGGGAAAATTCTATGCGCTTCGCGTAACCCACCAGCCTCTTGCATTTGCATTTGCGTCGTCGGTCTACGTGCCGTCGGTTCCAATTATCTCGCCCTGCGCCCCAGCCGAGACCGTCCCGCTTCCTGGATCTGTCCTTGGAGCCGTCAATCAAAAAAAGTAACCCACCAGTGCGGGTTACGCGTCTCCGACTCACGCGTCTTGTCTCGGGCTTCTGGGCTCCGGTTACCGCCGCCCTCGGTGCTTGCGACCCCGCTCTGTCCCTCACTCTTGGCACCCATCTGGTTCCGTGAAGTCGGGTGTGGCACCCTGGCGCTCAGGGGACGTGCGTCCTGACCAGTTCCGGCACGAGTGCTTGCACTTCCCTGGCATCTGGTCCCCAATCACCGCCACAGCTGGCCGTGTCTGTCGGTGCTGCTGGCCCTATGGGGTTTCGGACTGCCGGTTCACTCAGGAGTGGTTCAGCTTTCTTGTACGTCCATGCGTGCTCCCCCGTCGGTCTGCTGCCTGCGCGCTGGACTGTTTCGCAGCCCTGCGCTTCGCCACGTTTGTGGCGCGCCGACCTCTGGCGCCTGGTGGCGACAAGGTCCAATTCACGTACCTGGTGCCACGCCCCTGGGTTACTCGCACGTTTGCAGCTTCCTGGCAGCCCCAGCAGCTTGCAGTCCCCGCCCACGGCGCTGCCTCGCTCCTCCCGGCGGTTGCAGCATCTGCCCTCGGCGCAGCAGCTTCTCCCGGCGGTAGGTTCTGTCGGTGTCTGCGCGCGCGCCGGCAATTAGTTCCGTTCGTAGCCCGAGCTGGCTCGACTCGCCGCTGGTGCCTTCGCTTGCGGCTGCGACAAAAAAACACCAGCCCATCCAGAAACGCTGCCCAGAGGAATTGCCTCGATCAGGGAAGTGGGCGGCACACAGAGGAAGGGTCCCCCAGTGGAGGCCTCTTGGAGCGTCTTGGGGGCCTCTTGGCGGTCCCGGACGCCTCTTAGAGCGTCTGGGGTGCCTCGGAGAGTTTCTTGGGGCCTCTTGGGGGTCTTTCGGGAGCCTCTTGGAGGCCTCTTGGGCGCCTGTTGGGCCTCCTGGGCGCCTCTTGGGGCCCTCTTAAAGCGCTCTTGGGAGCCTTTGGAGCGCTCTCGGAGCCCTCTTGGGCCATCTTGAGGCCTCGGATGGCCATCGGACGCGAAAAGGCGAGAAAGCCAAAAACATTGATTTTCCCAAGGTGTTGGAAGGATTTGGGCCTGTTCGGGGTATCCTGGGGGAGCTCTTTGACCACTTGGAGCCGTCTTGGAGCGGTCTTGGGGCCTCTTGGAGCATCGTGGGAGCCATCTTGGGGCATCTTGGGATATCGTGAGCCTTCTTGGAGGTCATCTTGGGCCCCCATGCGCTCTTGGAGTCATCTTAAGCAGTGCCCCCCCCCCCCCCCCCCCCCCCAGTAGGCCAAACTATGGCCCAAACCTTGGTTAAATCAATTATTTTGGCCTTGTCGCCGAGGCCTCTTGGAGCGTCTTGAGTGCCTCTGGGGGCCTCTTGGGGCCTCTTGGGGATCTCTTGGGAGCCTCTTGGGGGCATCCTGGGGGCCTCTTCGGGGCCTCTTGGGGCCTCATGGCCACCTCTTGGGGCCCTCTTGGAACACCCTTGGGAGCCTTGGGAGCGGTCGTGGGGCCATCTCGGAGGAGATTGATCAAAGAAGGGGGGGTCTCAAAGAGCGCCGCCCCCCCAAGAGGCCAAAATGGGGCCAAAACCGTAGTAAAACAAAAGATTTCGGCGTCCTCACCGAGGCCGTTTTGGACGTTCCGGCAACCCGCGGAACGTCCCGTCCAGGTCGAGGGGAGGGTATTGGGCGAGGGGTAAACCCCTCCCCGAAGGAAAAGAAGGGGGTGGAACAAGAAACACCCTAAACCACCTACGCCCTAAAGGGCTGGTGGGATTTTTTCACGACGCGAGGGCGTCTGAGGTGTTGGTGCCTCTTTGTCCCCCCAGGACGAGCTGCGGCGGGACGCCCGCCGGCGCGCGGCGCTGTGCCGGGGGCACCTGCGCGCCGCGGACGCCAAGGATCCGGGCCGCCCAGCGTCGGGCCAGAATGCAGGGGGGGGCACAGGGGGAGGGGGGAAGGTTTCTTAGAAGCTCGGGGGTGGACAGAACCCCCACCCTGACACGTCGATTAGTGAATTGTCCGTCTTCGGTTCTAGAGAGGGCGCCGCGGCCGGCATTTTCCAGGCTTGCGCTCGCCAGATTTGGGCCCGAGGTCGTTTTCACGAACTCACGCTTTACGGAAGGGGGGGTCCTGTCCATCCCCGCCGAGAAGCACCCCTGCCCCGTAGAAGGAGTGGGCCTTGTCTGCAGATGTAAGGCCTGGGCCTGCGCCTTCTAAGCAGCAGCCTCCTCCTAAGAGGCCTCCTCCTCCTCCTCCTCCTCCTCCTCCTCCTCCTCCTCCTCCTCCTCCTCCTCCTCCTCCTCCTCCTCCTCCTCCTCCTCCTCCTCCTCCTCCTCCTCCTCCTCCTCCTCCTCCTCCTCCTCCTCCTCCTCCTCCTCCTCCTGCTCCTCCTCCTCCTCCTCCTCCTCCTCCTCCTCCTCCTCCTTCCCCCCTGCCCCCCCCTCTGCGCGCCGCCAGCCAGCGTCGGGCCGGAGTGCGGGCGGCTTCGCGCCGTCGCCGAAGCGGCGGCGGCCCCGCCGCGGGCGCTCGGGGCGGGAGCCCGGAGAGATCCGAGGTTCCGAGACATTGGCAAGGTTCCGCGCACGCGTGGCACGCAGCTGCCAGGCGCTTCTGCTTCTGAGCACTGGTATGAGCCCGAGTGCCACTACTGCCAATGCACCCTGGACGTGCACGGCTCGCTCTCTCTCTCTTTCTCTCTCTCTCTCTCTCTCTCTCGGTTCATGACGTACTCCAGATTTCGTAATAAAAGGGAGGGGGTCTGGACCCTCCAAGACGAGCCATGTCAGACCCCCCCGTCGTGGGAGGACCCTCCCAAACATCGTCCCCAGACCACCCCAGGCCCTCCAAGAGAGCCCGGAAGAGACCCCCCCCCGAAATGAGACCCCCCTCCCTTTATTACGAAATCTGGAGTGAACAACCGGTCCCAGGGAAGTCGTCCAGACCCCGGGGATACACTCGTCTCTACCATGGGCCTCCCAGGTGGGGTCGGAGCATAGATGGGGTCGGAGGACCGCGCCGCATCGCCGAGGCACCGCCGATGCGGCTCGATGTGGAGCCTGGTTTGCTTGCATCGCCAATGCGTCGACGATGCATCGCCGATGCATCGCCGATACATCATCGCCCCAGCTACTCGGATCCCATCCAGGACTGTGGAGGACGAGCAATTGAGAGGAGGCACGTTGCCAAATGATTTCGACATGTCTAAAGCGTGTGTTTAAACATGATTTAAACATGTTAAACAACATCCAATCATTGTAAACATACTTTGAATTCAATCATAGCGTTGTGAGGGTGTCCATTGTCATGGCATCCACAAATCTGGGAGGCCTCTGTCATCGCAGAGCATGGAGCGCCAGATGTTCGGGACCACCGCCAGTGGCCCAGAAGCGGCCACCGCGGAGCCATCGGGCAGCCGAAGGCCGCCGACCGTCCACGGTTGAAGGACCTGCGCAGTGTCAGAAGCCGCCGCCGAGAGGTCGTCGCGACGCGAACACCTGCCCCCAAGGGGGGGTCGGCAGATCGCGGCGGGTCGCTGATGCATCGGCGACCAGGCTCGATCTGTCCTTCTACAGGAGGGATGTCCAAAAATAGTCAGAAAATAGTCAGGGGACGATGTTTTGCATACCGTGTTTGAATATTTCTTGACTATGTTCGATTTTCCGTGCAAGGTCCCTCTGTAGGACGACATGCCCGACCTAATCCCAGACCCCCGATGCCGTGATCTTTTCACAACGTCGACCCCGAGAGGTCTGAACCCATGCCCAGGGACTGGTTTTTCAGCCCGAGTGGTCTTGGGACGGTCCTGGGGCCCAGCGAGGGCCCCTAGAGGCGCAAAATAAAGAAAAACCTCCCGTCATGATTTCTTCATGACCCGAGGGGGGGTCTGGGTCCAGAGCTCGATTTTCTCCATCGCGACGTCGGCCATGCATCGATGCGGCGCAGTATTCCGACCCCACCTCTGCGCCGTGGAACCCGTGTGGGCGGCCCCCGAAGAAAGGAGCGCGCGGAGGAGGAGCGCAGGGCCGTGGCCGAGAGGGTGTCCCTCGAGCTCCACGGCTTCCGGGAGCAGATGCGGCAGAAGGATCGGGGGCACGAAGGGCCGGACGATCGAGTTGGGTACGGAAAGGCTGTGCACAAAGACTGGCAGCTCACTTTGAACATGATTCGCTGCCCGCGCCGCCGCGGACGCTGTTCACTGAAGACAGAAAGCCGCCTGCCTAACAGCGGCCGCTGTCGGTTTTGGGCAACATTTGTTGTTGGGCATTGTACCCATGTTTTCCGTACCACTTGGGGCGTCCAAGGAAGAGGAGAGGGGTTATAGCCTGAGGTGGGTTTGCGCACGAACGAAGCTTAGGCCTGATCTTTCCCTTTTCCAGGGGCCGTCCACAGCGAATTTCCCATGGCCCCGTCCCCCTAGACCCCCGACGTCATGATCTGTTCGTGACGTCGACCCCCAGAGGTCTCGACCCATTCCCCGGGACCGGCTTCTCATCCTCAGTCGTTTTTTGAGGGTCCCGGAGGCCCCGTGAGGGCCCCCGTGGGGCGAAAATGTAGCGCAGCGGAAAAAAACATCCCGCCGTGATTTCTGTTGGTAGGGCTCGAGGGGGCCTGGGACCTCAGACACTGTGCCCCACCCTTCGAGTAGGGGATCGGGGGACCGACTACAAGGTTGATGTACCCCAAGCTTGGTTTTCTCGTTGGACGTACGATCGGTTTGTAGATTCGTTTCGTAGATGCACGGAGTATTCGCATGCTTTTCGGAATTCGATGAACAGATGAATTCTGGGGTAAATCAATTCTGTAGTCGATGCCCTACTCTGAAGGGAGGAGAAGCCGCCCGGACCCGATCACTTGCATTTGTTAAACGGCCCTTTGCGTTTACGAATAAGCCCTGCCCTGCTCGATTCCTTCCTTGGGTGCGTGTACTCAACGGCCTCGAGTGTCGGGGTGATTCTTATGAGGGTGGATGTTTGCTGTCTTTCTAACCTCGAACCCCGAGAGGTCTGGACCCCCAGAGGTCTGGCGCCCTTGCCCGGGACCAGTTTCCCGTGCCGAGTTGCTTTTCGACGGTCCTGGGGCCCGGTGAGGGCCCCCCGAGGCCGAAACTGGCGAAAAACCTCCCGTCGTGATTTTTGTCTGCAGCGCGAGTGGGTCTGGAGCTCGAGCCCGTGCTGCGCCCCCCCCCCACAAGGAGGCCGAGGACGAGGACCGCGTCCGGCACCTCTACAGGGCGCTGCTGGGGCCCGCGGGGGGCGCCGCGCCGGCCCTGCCGGGCAGCGCGCCCCCTGGCCTCCTCGTGTCGGAAGGCCGGACGAGAAGCCACCTTCGGGCAAGCAGTGACGAGGCGTCTCGGCTTGCCTATGGCAGAGGAGGAAGAAAAAGGCACCCACACCGCTACCCGTCGCCCCGTTTTCCCCCTCCTTGGGCCTCCTGGTGGGCCCTCGTCGCCACCGCTGGATTCGCCTCGAAGTCCTGGTCAGAACGCACCCCGGGAGAGGTCCGGGGAGCAGAGATATGGGTACTTTTTGGTCTCCTCAGTCTTGGTTTGCCTATAGGCCCACCAAAGAATGTTCCAAGAACCTGATGTGATTTGCACGAATTGTTCCTAGAACATTCTCAACGATCCCAGATCCCCTCGAGTCGCGAAAAAACACGACGGGAGGTTTTTAGCTGTTTTCGGGCTCCAGGGGCCCTTGCCTGCCCTCGGGACCGTCCAAGAACGATTCAGGATGAAGAACCCGTCCCGGGGAATGGGTCCAGACCTCTGGGGGTCGACGTTGCGAAAAGATCGCGAAGTCGGGGTCTGGGATATGAGAGCGGTATGTTCAGGGGGATGCATCGGCCCCGGATCGCCCACTGATCGCCGATCTGGGATAATTTTGGGGCCCGGTTAGCCCACTCCGGCCAGGAACGTGCGGTCTCGGCATCGGGGGCCTATGGCCGATCTATCGGCGAATTATCGCCGATTCCCGGTCGATGTTCCCCCCCCCCCCCCTGTGCCAGTCACCCCCCTATCGTTGCCCCCTTCACACCTGCGGCGACGGCGGCTCTCCCGCCTGGCCCAGATCCGCTCAAAAAAATCTGCCCCTCGCGAGGTTCGGGTAGGGGATCGACTACAGCATGGATTTACTCCCCAAACATGTCTTCCCCGCCGAACATACAAGAAACGCGTAGAATGTTCGTAGATCCACGGGACATTATGCGCATGTTTCGTAGATTTCGGCGGGGCAACTCATTCTGGGGTGGATGAATTCTGTAGTCGATACCCTACTCGAGAGGTGACTCCTGGCCCGCTTTCCAAGGCGGATCCTGTCGTGGCGGTGAGAAGCTCCCTGGATGCCCCAGGAGGACGGGGAACGCCAGGGAGGGCCGCTGTTGTATCTCGAGTGGCCCTCCTCCGAGAAGGCCCGCTCGACCAGGGCGACCTGGGCGACCACGGCGGCCGCGGCGCGCCAGCGCCGCCGTGGCTCCTCCACGCCGGGGGCACCAGCGCCTCGTGGCCCAGCGAGGCCCCGCCCAGCAGGCCCCCCGCTGGCCGGAGGCGAGCGCCCGGCGAGGCCGACGCGCTGCTGAGGCTCGGGTTGCCTCCCGGGTGGGGTCCGAGCAGCTGGGGGCGGAGGCTCGCGCCGCAGTCCACGGTGCATCGCCCGTGCGGCTCGATGTTCGAGGAGGAGGAGGAGGAGAAAGGAGGAGGAGGAGGAGGAGGAGGAGGAGGAGGAGAAGTAGGAGAAAGGAGGAGGAGGAGGAGGAGGAGGAGGAGGAGAAAGGAGGAGGAGAAAGGAAAAGGAGGAGGAGGAGGAGGAGGAGGAGGAGGATCGGGCCAGACGAAAGTGGGGGATAGGGAAAGGAGGGTATACGAAATCTGCTGCGTGCAGCTTGTTTCGGCCCCGCCGCCGGGCACGTTTCTCGATACATGGCCGCCTCGGGCGCCGGGAGACGCCGGGGAAATCACCTACGTGAGCTGATTCTCAAACCACCCCTTTGCTATCCCCCCCTTTCGCCCGGCCCGAGATGTGAGGCTATGATGTTCCAACCTACCTTAGCCTTCATCAGCAGAAGGAATTTCGGGCACCAGGAAAGTGCCGAAGCTGGAGGGTTTCCACGTGTCGGGCCCTGGGAGGCGATCTTTGGCCGGCACCTCGCGTGTCGGGCAGGCACTGTCTCGCTATTTCTCGGGGCGCTCGAAGTTAGTTCTGGGATGTGGCCCTTGAGCACGATGGGAGCAGCGTGAACATGTAGGGCCCGATTCTCTCCGCGCCGATGGCGCCGACGGACGCGTCGAGGACGTCGCCGATGTCTGTGCATCGGCGACGCGGCGCGAGCCTCGGGCCCCACGGGCTCGGGCCCCGCCTGGAAGACCTCTTGATGGGCCTGTTTTCCACCACCACCCCCATAAGTTGGAGGGGGGAAGGAGGAGAACGAGGAGGAGGAGGAGGACGACGACGACGAGGAGGAGGAGGAAAAGGAGGATGAGGAGGAGGTGGAGGAGGAGGAGGAGGAGGACCGACTCCCCCTTCAGCTTATGGTGGTGGTGGTGGAAAACAGGCCCATCACCTCTGGAGGCGCAACCTGGCGCGCCTGGAGCGCCTGGAGCGCCTGGGGCTGTAGCTCGCCCAGCGCGCAGCCGCGCCCCGCGCGTGCTGCCCGCGGGCCCCCCCCTGAGATCCAGACGCTGCCAGGGTTGCCACGCCGGGCGCCCCCTCCTCCTCCTCCTCCTCCTCCTCCTCCTCCTCCTCCTCCTCCTCCTCCCTTCGCCGGGCTGCGGGCCCCGGGTCCCGCACCCCGCGGGGGGCAACGGCAGGAAAGGGACAATTAGGCATACGGGGGGATGCATCGACCTCGCAGGGCTGGTGCATCGACGATGCATCGTCGAGATCAGGGCGGTGCATCGCTGGGGTGTATAGAGAAGTGGACGATACATGGGGCGGTCTGCATCGAAGATGCATCGACGATACATGGGCGATGTATCGGCCATTCGGGGTCGATGAATCCCCCCTGTGCCTATCCCTCCCTATCGTTGCCCCTCAGACCAGCACCCAGCTCATCCGCGACCAGAGTTGTTCGGTAACGGATTTAGGGGGCGCCGAGTTTTGGTCGCGACCGGAGGGGGTCGAATTGCGGTAGCGAAGAGACGGCGCATCGGTGTCCAAGCGAGGGTTTCGAGGCCGTTGGCGGGTGGCTCGTTACGGAAATTCGCGAGCTGAGGTCGAATTTTGGTCGCGATTTGTGCGTCCAGAGCATTACCGAACATGTTAGGTACCTGGTGATCTGGGTTGCGGGCCCCGGGACCAGCAAGGACCGATCCGGATCGAAAAACGGCGCAGACAGGGAGGGTGTAGGGCTCCCGTGGCGATTTTTCGCGACGTTGCAATGTTTTTGCAACGTCGGATCTCAGGGGAGGTAAAGGTGCCGATACCGCTGCCCTGCCCGTCGTTTTCGCCTTTCTGGGCCTCCAGGCTCGTCGCCACGGCTGGATTCGCCTCGAAGTTCTGGTCGGGGCGTACCCTTGGAGAGGTCGGGGGAGTGGCGGAATCGGTGTCTTTTCGATTTCGCGTAAGAGTGAACCTTCGCTGGAGTGACCTCTGGTGCGGACTCATCGGGGTCCCCCCAACCGCTGAGCGCGATGCGCTGGCGGCTGCTCGCACGCTGGGATTCGGCCACCTTGCGCCCCGTGAGTCCGCGTACCAAACGTCGCTCCAGCATGGGGCCACTCTCTTGCGTGCAGCTGATCTTTGGGTTCCCGCACGATCGGCACCCGTGTTCACCTTCCCTGTCCTGGCCTCGCCCCTCTTGCTCCTCGTTGTCTCTCGTGGGCGGAAGCATGCACCCATCAGGAATCTTGCAGAAAAGAGTGTCAACTTGCATGGACTGCAGATTCCTTGCAAGAGTACCAAGAATCTGGACCAGAACCTGGGCGCTTCCTCGGCGCCCCCTGTCTTCGAAGAAAAAATCGTAGATCTGGACCTGGACACTGCTGTCTAAGAAAACGCTTCGAACGAAGCCCATGTGCTTGGCGTAAATTCTTTTTAACTCTAAGCAGGGATGTATCCGTATCCGTGCCCACGCGGGTCGGACACCTGGGCCTCGACTCTGCGGATACGGGGCGCTTTTGTCGCGGATGCCCCGCGCGCGGAACGTATCCGTGCGACCGCGCATCTGCGGGATCGCGCCCCAGAGTCTGGACCGCGAGTGCGCGGATATGGACACGCTCGCCGCTCGGGACTTCCTCCTCCCCCTCGCTCATCCTCCCGGCCACGTCTCGCGCTGCTGCTCCCCTGGCCACGTCTCACGCTGCTGACCCTTCTGCCCCTCCCTGCCTGTGCCCGCCGCCCTCGGGGCCCGCCCTGTGCGGCGGAGCTCCCGCGCGCCGCTGGACCCATCGGCAGACAGGGAGCACGGCCGTGCCCCGGCGCGGGCGAGGCCGCGCGCGCCGTGCCGAGCTGACGACGGCCGGGATCGGCACCGACGGTTCCTTCTGTCGGCTGCGCGCAAGAGTGACCCTTCGCCGGAGTGACCTGTGGTGCGGGCTCCTCGGGCTCCCCCCGATCGCGGGCGCGATGCGATGCAAGCGGCCCGCGCCCTTAGGTTTGGCTCCCTCGCGCCCCCAGAAGCTGCGCACCAAAGGTCACTCTGACCCAGGGTCGCTCTTACGTCTAGCCCACTCCGTTGTCTTGGTCATGGTCTCCGTGTCCTTCCCCTCCATGATCTGCAGGATGTCGGGTGGGGATTCCCGCTCGAGCGGGGGCCCCCCCAGGACGCCAGCGGAGGACGCTCGAACGGATATGTGGTAGTGCGTCCCCGTGCAGGTTCCGGGGTTGGCCGTGCTCGTCCGTGGAGCTTTTTTAGGGCAGCCTGGGCCCCCCCTGCCCCGTAGAGGAGCTGCGTGGTCACGGGCTGCCTCGGCCTCCCCAGCCCCGAGACTCGGACGTCGCAAGTCTTTCGCGCCAGGCGTCTTCGCCCGGCTGCGAGAATGCGATCGGCCCAGCTTCGCCCGGCTTCGCCCCGCCGGGGGCCTTGACGGATCGATCAGGCCCCAGAACGGGTGTGTTCGTTGCGGGGAGTGCCGGGTTGGCCCAGAAGGGAGTCCAGCGACAAGGGGGTGGTGCAATAGATTTGGTGCAATATATTTGTGGGGTTGCAATACATTTGGGGCGTGCAATACATTACTTGCAGTACAATGCAAAACAATTCTCTGGCGCAATACATTTGCAATACAATTGCCCCAAATCTATTGCACCACCCCCTTTCAGCTGGACCCCCTTTCGGGTCACCGGAAGAGTGGTGGCGTAAAGGGGGGACGGAAACAAGAACAAATCAAAGGATCGATGAGGCCTAGAAATAGCGCCCACCGAGCGGAGAATGCGCGCTCCGGCTGCCAGGTCGATAGGGATATAGGGCCATAGGGCTATAAGGCTATGAGGCCATAGGGAAGGGATATATAGAGCTATAGGGTTATTGGGCTATTGGGCTATGAGGTTATTGGGCTATGGGGCTATAGGGCTATAACGCTAAGAAGCACCCTGGCTCAGGAGGGAAAAAACACACAGACACAATTCATCGGCGATTCCCAGAACATATGGGACAATGTGGGAAGTGGGGGGGAAGACAACAACCCAGAAGATATGAGAAAATAGGGGGAAGCTTTTTGTTTGTGTGCATCTATTTGTGTGTCTCAGGGCCCCTTCACTAGCACCCGGGCACCAGGGCACCCGGGCACCCGGGCACCCGCGCAGATTGGGCGTTGCGTAATGGAGGGGTCATAAATGGGGGGGTGTCGCGGGTGGTCCGAAAAGGTACCCAAACGGTACCTAAACGAGCCCCCTGGGGCTCCGGAGGGGCCCGAAAGGGGCACGAAAGGGGACCGTTTCTGACCCCCCCATTTATGACCCCCCCACTAAGCCACGCCCAAGCAGAAGGTGGCGCGCGGGCGCCCTCGAGCTTCCGGTGCAGCGCTCCGCGCACGGCGGCCTGCGCAGGCCACCGCGCAAGGCCGCCGCGCCGCCTCGCGCCGGGCCCGCTCCTCCTCGTCGCTCCGCTCCTCCTCCTCCTCCTGCTCCTCCTGCTCCTCCTCCTCCTCCTGCTCCTCCTGCTCCTCCTCCTCCTCCTGCTCCTCCTCCTGCTCCTCCTGCTCCTCCTGCTCCTCCTGCTCCTCCTGCTCCTCCTCCTCCTCCTGCTCATCCTGCTCCTCCTGCTCCTCCTCCGTTTTTTTTGTATCTTGCGCAGGCTGCCGAGCGCTCCAGGCGCTCGTAGCGTCAACCTCCTCCTCCTCCTCCTCCTCCTCCTCCTCCTCCTCCTCCTCCTCCTCCTCGGGGGCGGCGTCTGTTTCCGCCGGGGGAGCTTTTTTTTAAGTCGGGCCTGCCCCCCCGACAGGAAGCACGTTCAGAAACAGTCAAAACGTAGCCTGGGCGCGCTTTTTTGACCATTCTCGACTATTCTTTCGGGGGAGCGTAAGACCCGGGTTTGCCAGGACTCGGGTTCGCCATCGTTTTTTGACGACCGCGCCTCGGATTTTGACGAGGAGGAGTTTCGTGGGATGTCTGCAGCGGGAGGCCTCGTCAAAATGCAGGCTCGGCCTCGTCATTTTTTTGACGACCTCGTCGGGGATTCCCGAGTCCCCTGTACCCAGGTCTTACGTCCCCCTGATTCTTGAGCACGTGTCGACTAGTTTTCGTTTTTCGTCCAAACTCCGCCCTGAAGGAGGACACGCCCGACCTACGGTAGGTTTGCGTCGTTTCGACCAGCGGCGACCCCAGCGCGGGCGTTCAAGGTTGAACGCCGCCGGCGACCCAGAATCGATCGATGTTGAACGATCGGACGTTGCGGCAGCGGCCGATCGTTCAAGGTTGAACGATCCCTGCGGTGTCAATAACCAACGCTGGGGTCGGCACGACACGAACCTGCCGTAAGCGGAGCTGCTCCCCCCTCGCTGCCCCCGTCCGGCCTCCGCGGGGCCTCTTTGCCAGCCTCCGCGCGAGAGGGGCGAGAGGCGAGCCGCCCCGGCCCCGGAGGACGAGGAGGCTCTTTTTTTGCAGCGTCGTCGCGGTCGTCGTCGCGGTCGTCGTCGTCGTCGTCGTCGTCGTCGTCGTCGTCGTCGTCGTCGTCGTCGTCGTCGTCGTCGTCGTCGTCGTCGTCGTCGTCGTCGTCGTCGTCGTCGTCGTCGTCGTCGTCGTATGCCGTCGTGGTGGTGTGTCACCACAGTCATCGTCGTCGTCGTCAGCGGCGGCGGCGGCGTCGTCGGCGTCGTGGTCGCGGTCGTCGTCGTCGGCGGCGGCGGCGTCGGCGTCGTGGACGTCGTGGTCGTCGTGGTCGTCGTCGTGGTCGTCGTCGTTGCGGTCGTCGTCGTCGTCGTGGTCGTCGTCGTCGTCGTCGTCGTCGCCGCGGTCGTCGTCGTGGTCGTCGTCGTCGTGGTCGTCGTCGCCGCGGCCGTGAGCCACCCTCTGCGGAGCGACACGGCACAGGAGGGCAGCGGGCCCATGGCCAGCCCCGCGGGCGCGTGGTGGCCGCGGCCGCCGCGGGCCGTCCATCCCCGGGGGCGGTGCGTGCGGCGGGCATTCCCCGAGAGCCGCGGCGCTATATCGGGGGCGGCAACGAGGGGGGTGATGACTAGGGGGGGGGTTGATATCATGGCGTGGGCCATGGTATCTCCCCAGGTTTCATGGCGCCTCTTCTTATTTCAGTACGTCCCTGGCCCCCCCCGCAGGGCCGCGCACATGCCGCCGGTCATGATTTGCACCCCC